TGCAAACTAACCTCTGCCAAGTGAATAATAACCAGAAAAGAGCTCAAATGACTCTGTAGGAAAAAAAAAAATTATTAATCTGATAAAAAAAAATGAGCAAAAGACTTGAATAGACATTTCTGAAAAGAAGACATACAAATGGCAAACAGGCATATGAAAAGGTGCTCAACATCAGAGAAATGCAAATCAAAACTACAATGAGATATAATTTCACCCCAGTTGAAATGACTTTATCAAAAAGATAGGCAACTACAAATGCTGGCAAGGATGTAGAGAAAAGGAAACCCTGGTACACTGTTGGTGGGAATGTAAATTAGTATAACCCCTGTGGAAAGCAGTTTGGAAGTTCCTCAAAAAATTAAAAATTGACCTACCATATGATCTAGCAATCCCAGTGCTGGGCGTATACCCAAAACAACGAAAATGGTACATCAAAGAGATATCTTCACTCCTGTGTTTGTTGCAGCACTGTTTACAATAGTTAAGATTTGGAAGCAGCCTAAGGGTCCACCAACAGATGAATGAATAAAGAAAACATTGTATGTCTATACAATAGAGTACTATTTAGCCACAGAAAGAATGAGATCCAGTTATTTGCAACAACATGGATGAAACTGAAAATTACTATGTTAAGTTAAATAAGTAAGGCACAGAAAGGCAAATATCACATGTTCTCACTTATTTGTGGGATCTAAAAATAAATCACTAAAATTCATGGACATAGAGAGTAGAAGTTTTGTTACCTGCATCTCAGAAGAGTAGTGGGGGTTGTAGGGGAGGTGACAAAGGTTAATGGGTAAAAAAGAAAGAAAAAGTAAATAAGACCTACAATTAGGGTGACTATAATCAATAATCATTGTATTTTTTAAATAACTTAAAAATATAATTAGATTATTTGACACAACGGATAAGTGCTTGAGAGGATGGATACCCTACTCTCCATGATGTGCTTATTGTAAGAGATAAAGAATGAGAAAAAAAAAACACAAAAAGTGGCTCAACAGTTAAGTATAGTTTTATTTTGGAAAATGAACCTGAGAGGACTTCTTGTCAATTTCAGTCAGGAGCACTCTCTCTTACAGACTAAGAGTATTTATTGGTTTTAAGGTGAGAGAGCTTATCTTGCAACCCAGGCCTGAAATATTTCTGTTGAGGGGAAGAAGTTTATGGCGGAGTTGGAATGTCGCTGGTCAGAGGGGAGGTAATCTTGGGGCTGACATCTCTCTGGCCAGAGGGGAGATTATCTCAGGGCTGGCATGTCTCTGGTTGGGTATGGGTTTATCTTATGGTTGAAATATTTCTGGTCAGAAATGTCATTTGTGGCTTATGGTCATGCTGACCTTAGCCATTAGGCTGATGCCCTTGGGATTTAGGCAGTTTTTGATCAAGGTGAACTTTAAGATGGCAGTGCTTGTCCAAGATGGTGATGCTCTGCTCTATTAATCCATCCTTATAGTTTTAAAAAGGACAAGGGGGTATGTTCTTTCTGGCTACTTCCTGCTGATGAGGGGACAGAGAGTTTCCACTGCTGGTGGAAATGTAAAATAATAATATAACCACTGTGGAAAGTAATATGGCAGTTCCTGAATATATTAAAAATAGAATTACTGTATTATGCAGCAAGTTCACATCTGGGTATATACTCAAAATATTTGAAAGCAGGGTCTCAGAAAGACATTTGTATACTCCTGTTCATAGCAACATCATTTACAATAACAAAAAGATGGAAGCAACAAAAGTATCCACTGAAACCTGGATAAGCAAAATGTTATATATAAATACAAAGTACTATTATTATTCAGCCTTAAAAAGGAAGGACATTTTGACAAATGCTACAACATGGATGAACTTTGAGGACATTATGCTAAGTGAAATAAGCCAGTCACAAAAAGACGAATACTATATTACTTCACTTCTATGAGTGTATAGTTAGGGTTCTCCAGAAGAACAGAACTAACAGCATACATGTATCTATTAAAGGGAGCTTATTAAGGAAAACTGAACCGCAGGATCACAAGGTGAAGTCCCACAATACACTGTCTACAAGCCAAGGACATAGGAAACCAGTACTGGCTCAGTCTGGGTCCAAAAGCCTCAAAAGTAGGGAAGCCACTTGTGCAGCCTTCAGTCTGTGGCCAAAGGCCCAAGAGCCCCATCAAACCACTAGAGTAAGTCCAAGAGTCTAAAGACCAAAGAATCTGGAGTCTGCTATTCAAGGTCAGGAAGCACCCAGCACAGGAGAAAGATGAAAGCCAGAATTCAGCAAGCCAGTTTATCTCTCCTTCCTCTGTCTGATTTGTTCCGGCCACACTGCCGCTGATTAAATGATGCCCACCCACACTGAGGTCTTCCTTTCTCAGTCCACTGACTGAAGTGTTAATTTCCTCTGGTAACACCCTCACAGACACACCCAGAAAATACACCTTACCAGCTATGAAGGCAACAAGTTGGCACCTAATATTAACCATCACAATGAGGTAGTTAAAGTAGTCAAAATCATATAGACAGAAAGCAGAATGGTGGTTGCCAAGGACTGGACATGGGCAGGAAATGGAGAGTTATCATTTCATAGGTTCAGAGTTTCAATTTTACAGGAAGAAAAGAGTTATAAAGACGAATGGTAATGAGGGTTGCAGGAATATCTTGAATGTATTTAATACCGCTTAACTGTATAATTAAAAATAAGATGTAAATTTTGTATTATGTGTATTTTACCACAAAAAATAAATTATGAAAAATAATATAATAAAACATAACAAAATGAAATTGAAACTGTGAATCGTGCAAATGGAGATCAAACAGCTTCAAATGAAGTTTGGAGTGCCATGGCTGACATTAACAGACAGGATATTATTTTCTACTTTTCTCATCACCCACCACCCTCCATTCGTCCCCTTCCAGCCAATATAAAAATATTGAATATCTCATTAAGTACAGGGCCGGGTACATTCAGCTTCTACCATGGCTTTATTTCTGTTTTTACTGCACTGTTCAACCCAAATTCTAGACCTCTTTGGCTCATTCTCAATCTCTATAGCAATAACTTTCGATGTGCCCAGTTCTTCCAATGCATTTTATACTGTGTTGCCAGAATAATGTTTTTGAGTCCTGGTTTTAATCATTTTAGTAGTCTTCCCAGCATCTTCACTATCTTTCTACTGCTCATCTAACTCTGTTGATCTTCATTAGATCAACATATTATATATTAAAGGGAACTTATTAAGGAAAATTGACCCACGGAATCACAAGGTGAAGTCCCACAATACACTGTCTGCAAGCTGAAGAATTGGGAAACCAGTAGTGGCTCAGTCTGTGTCCAAAAGCCTCAAAAGAATGGAAGCCCATCGTGCAGCCTTCTTCATTGTCAACATAATTAACTTATTTTTAGATCTGTTTTAGATCAACAAAATTAATCTGTTGATCAGTATTTCCCAAAGTATAATCTGAAAGATTTTCTTCTTTATTTTTAGAGACAGAGTCTCACTCTGTTGCTAAGGCTGGAGTGCAGTGGTACAGTCATAGCTCTCTGTAACCTGGAACTCCTGGGTCAAGTGATTTTCCCACCTCAGCCTTCCTAGTAGCTAGGACTGTTAGCACACACCATCATACCTAGCAAATTTTGTAAATATTGTTTCCTAGAGAAAGGATCTCACTACATTGCCCAGGCTGGTCTCTAAGTCCTGAACTCAAGTGATCCTCCCATCTTGGCCTCCTAAGGTAGCAGGATTACATGTGTGAGTTATTATACCTCGCCTGAAATTACCTTTTAGGCTTACATTTTACCATTTTTCTTTGAATTTTTTATAATCTAACCAGAACTACATTATCCAATCTTGTTCTAACTGACCTCTCATAACACACACTCATATACACATACGCATTTTTTAAATTCTTATTGGAAAAAGAATAATTGTATTCATTAAAGACACAGGTACCACACTGCCTTCCTCATAGAGTTGATGCTAGAATTAAATGAGTTGGTACATGTAAAGCTTCTATAACAGTGAGTGGCACAAAATATATTCTCAAGAAATATTATATAGTGTCAAAATTCTACTGATTTTTTAGAAATGGGAAGCCTCTTTAACCTTCTCAAATGAGTGTGGTCTCTTTTTTTTAATCTTTTTGATGTTTTGTGGGCCATCGTATGCCATTTAATATGTTCTTTCTCATTTTTCTCAAGGTTGTGATTCCCTTTTCTTACCCTCTTAAGTCCCTTAAAAGTAGATAATCTGTATAACTCATCTTTACATACAGTTTCCAGAATAATAGCTGGTACATACTTGGAGGCTAATACTAAAGTTTTTAATGAAGAGAACTTTACTGTTACTGGTAAAAGAACTTCTTTTACCTATTTGTAAACTTTCTGTGTTCTATACCAGACCTACATCTATTTTAAATCTTTGATTCTCAATAGCAGATGGGGGATTCTTGATATAAAAATTATTTTCATAATAATACTAAGACATTGTTTGTCTTTTTCATTCTCATTCTCTTGCAACTGTTCAGTGAAGTTTTCCAGAGGCTACATGATGTGTGATAATGTGATAATAGAACAGATTGAATGCAAAAGCAAATATGAGAACCTGTCTTCTCTTAAACATTTAAAGAAGCATTTATATCTTGAGAAAAACCACACTTTGGAAGAGAGGCTTTAATTTGCCTAATTTAATTTCAGGCTGCTTTAATTTGGTTAATTCCACCAGCTTAAAACCCCCTATCTCGTTATTAGTGTCTGCAAAACAAGTGCTGAAGACAAAGAAGAGCAGGAGTGGCAATATCAGGATTCATTTAGGAAAGGTACACTTTGGTCATGAGAAAAGAAAAAGGATACTTGGAAGAAGCAAATACTGGGGAAAATAATCAGTGCTATATCAAAATGCTTGGGTTCTATTGGCTTTTCTACCTCTAGGTCATTTCAATTCTAAAATTTTCTAAGGCATTATGTGCAATTAGATTAACAATGAGATTCAAATCAGAGAAGGCTATTTACATTTCGCCAATTCCTTTAAAACCTTCAATTCTGTGTTGAATTAGTAATTGGAGATAATAATAATAATTGCTAACACAAATTATTTACTTCCTGCTAAAATCTTTAGTCTTCATTTAATTTTTAAAACACAATAAAAAATAGGACCGGCATTATATTACAATTCTCAATTTAGAAATAAGAAAATTTAATTTCAGAAAAAAGTAACGAGGCAAAGGAACACAGATGATTAGTCTCTTAGCAGAGATTTAAATCTGGGCAATCTGAGGGGTCTAACGTAAGAACCCTCACTAAAACAGTTAAATATAAAAAGTACAAATGTATTAGTACTTATAAAGTTCATGTAAATACACGAAAAATTTGCATCTGTTTCAGAAAAAATCCTTTGTAAACTGCTAAACACACCTAAATGATAATTATTCTGACTTTAAGTTTTCTGTTTATTTCCTATGATGTCATTTTCTTCCAAAATACAAGTTTATTGCTATTTATGCCAGTGAGTTTTGTTAATAAAATGATAAAATGCATTGTATATAAGGGGCTTTGAGAAACCTTCCAGAAAAGAAACATTCTGTGTTTGTGTATATGTGTTGTGTGTGTGTGTGTGTGTTGTGTGTGGTATGTGTATGTTTGTGCAATTAATGCAGTTTCTCAAAATGATTTAATAATAGAAACCTTTTATCTATAACAGGAATTTCTAAACCAGAGCATAAGCATTCAGCAGAATGCCTAAGCTGACCTAAGCATTTACCCTATATTATTAAAAACTCATAAATAATGTTTTTAATTAATATATACCTTTTCACTAAGTGGATATAACATGATTCTCACAGTTTTTCCCCTTTTCCAGAATGTATTTGAACCTAATTTTCAGCTTTTATAAATAACGCTAATATGAACATCCTTGAGTAGTCTTCCCCTGTATGGGCATACAATTTTATAATAGCTTTTCAGCTCCACATCAAACCGATTTGTAACAGTAGATGACAATGCTCATTGTGCTATGTCCTTATTGTCCAGTGCTCATTAAGCTTACTTAAAAACACACAATTTTGACTGTTTGATAGACCTCAGAAAAATGAATTCACTGATTTTATCTTTTGGGTTTTCTGGTTATAAACAAAGTTAATATTTTCTAGTTTTTTAATTTGCATTTACTCTTATGTAGTCTGTCTTTTTTCTATATATTTATTGAGACTAGTTTTCTCATTTATTCATATGAGTTTCACATATGTAAATAAATTTAGACCCTTTTAGTCATATATATTTGTATTTATTGCTTTGTAAAACATTCCTTGTCTATTCATACTTTGACAGATAATAAATGTGCATATTTATGGAATATAATGTGTATATTTATGTGATGTTATGATGTAATGTTTCATATAATATTGGAAGATACAATCAAGATAATTAATGTATTCATCACCATACCAATTTATCAAATTTTTTGGTAATGTTAAGAATCTGTTCTTTCAGCAATTCTGAATTATAAAATTCATTATTGTTAACTTCGATCAGTATCTTCCCTTTCTTTATCCTTTTCCCCACCTCATCCCAAGCCTCTGGTAGTTACCTTTCTACTCTCTGCTTTTCTGAGTTCCTCTGTTTTTAGATTTGCCATATAAATCAGATCACATAAATAAGGTCATACAGACCATACTCATCTTTTTGTGCTTGGCTTATTTCACTTAGCATAATGTTCTCAAGTTTAATCTATGTTTTCTGAATGACAGACTATCCTTATTGTTTAAGGTTGTATAGATTTCCATCATGCATATGTACCATCTTTTTCTTCATCTATTCACTTGTTAATGGACACTTACATTGCTTCCATATCTTACCTATTGTGAATAATGCTGAAATGAATATGAGAGCATAGCTGTCTCTTCAATATACCTGTTTTAATTCCTTTGGATATGTACCTAGAAGTAGAATCTGCTGAATCATATGGTAATTCTACTTTTAGTTTTTGAGCAAACTCTATACGATCTTCCAAAATGGCTGTACTAATTTACATTCTTACTAATAGTATACAAGTGTTCCCTTTTGTTTACATCCTCACCAATATATGTTACCATTCATCTTTTTCATAATAGCCATTCTAAAGGGTGTAAAGTCATATCTCAATGTGGTTTTAATTTGTATTTCCCTGATAAGTAGAGAACTTTAAGCATTTTATCATATTTTTGTCCCTTCATATTGCTTATTTCGAAAAATGCCTGTTAAGATCTTCTGTCCATCTTTTAGTTGAGTTATTTGATTTCCTGATGCTGACTTGTTTGAGCAACTTACATAGTTTAAATATTAGTCCCTTATCAGATGTATGGTTTACAAATACTTTCAATACTTGGTTTGTTTCTTCAGTCTCTGGTTTCCTTTGCTGTGCAGAAGCATCTTTTTATTATGATGTAATCTCATTTGTCTGTTTTTGCTTTTGTTGCCTTTGCTTTTAGAACCCTATCCAAGAAATAATTTTTAAGACCAATGTCATGGAATTTTCTTTGTGTTTCCTTCTTGTAGTTTTACAATTTGAGGTCTTAAATATAAATATATTATCCATTTTAAGTTTAATTTTCTATATGTCGTGAAATAAGGGTCCAGTTTTATTTTTATTCATGTGAGTATCATGTTTTCACAACACTATTTATTGAAAAGACTGCTATTTCCCCATTGTGTGTTTTTGAAACCTTTAATAAAAATTAATTGACTGTGAATCATTAAGTTTATTTCTGGGATACTTTCTTTTCCATTGGTCTGTGTCTCTTCCATTAGTTTGCGTTTATGCCAGTGCAATGCTGTTTTGAATGCCTTATATTATATTTTGAAATAAGAAAGTGTGATGCCTCTAGCTTTGTTCTTTTAGCTCAAGATTTCTTTAGCTATTCAGAATCTTTTCAAGTTTCAAACTAATTTTAGAATTTTTTTCTATTCCTGTGGGAAAAAAATGGCACTAGAATTTTGAGAGAAATATTACTGAATGTGTAGATCATGTTAGATATTATGGGAATCATTTTAATTATTTCATTCCATGAACATGGAATATCTTTCCATTCATTTACGTTTTCTTCAATTTCTTTCATCAATATTTTATACTTTTCATTGTACAGATCTTTCATTTTCTTTGTTAAATTTACTCCTAAGTACTTTTTATGCTACTTGTGAAAGACAAATAAATTTTGAGGCCCTCCACTCACTAAGCTAAAGGGAAAAGTCAAGCTGGGACCTGCTTAGGGCCTAACTGCCTCCGATTCTATTCAAAGTCACCCCTCTGGTCACTGAGATGAATGACTATCTGATTGCCTCCTTTGGAGAGACTAATCAGAAATTCAAAATAATGGAATCATTGGTCTCTTAGCTACCTATGACCTGGAAGCCCTCTCCCAACTTTGAGTCTTCCCACCTTTGCTTTGAGTTGTCCCACCTTTCTAGACCAAACCAATGTTCACCTGGCATATGATGACTGATGTCTCATGTCTCCCTAGACAATATAAAACCAAACTGTGTTCTCACCACAGAGGGCAATCTGGGTGGTCTAACTTAAGAACCCTCACTCAAACAGTTAATTATAAAAAGTATAAAATTCTTGGTTTGTTTATATATTGCTCTTCTTTCATTGATAAGCATCACTGTTCTTTTGAATTTTCTGTGAGATGAATCACTTATTCATTTTATTAGCTTTGAATTCCAGAGAGTTATCTTGTTCTTTTATATGGGACACATTTCTCTGTTTCACTTTCCTTGACTCTCTATGTTGGTTTCTGTGCATTATATACAAGAACCACCTCTTCCAAATTTGTTAGACTGTGCTTCCGTAGATTTTCCTCCCTAATCACCTCAGCGAGACATTCTAAGTGTCTTTCAACTCTCTTTGCTTGTCCGACCTGATTCCTTTTTTCTTGGTGACATCCAAGAAATTAGAGAGTGAAAAGTTGTGCTATTACCTCGAGAGTAGTGTGATAAGCCAGTATCTTGGAATGCAGCTGCAGATGTTGGGGTATTGGATGTGTGTTCCCTTTTCTTCTCTCTTTGCAAAGAAGCTGAGAGCCAGAGTATATCTTCTACTTATTCTGCCCTACACTAAGAAGAGAATCTGAAGCAGATGTCTATACTTTTTATCAGAGTGCTTATGTTCAACCTGGGAAGACAGCTGCTTAGTTTTTGAAAGTTTATATGTCACCATTGTGTTATCTGTGGTCTAGGAGACTCAGGCATGCAGAGCTCTGTCAAATCCCAGAGCCAGGTGACTTAAGAGCCAGTCCTTTGGATGAATGCTGTAAAAGTTGGGGCACTGGACTCATGCAGAAACTACTGCCATGGAGGGTCTTCAGATTTGGATGTATTTTTGGAACAAGCCTGGGAAAAAGTGCTGGGAGTGCCCACTCTCCAGTTCAAGCAATTAGAAGCCTCACACCCTCCTAGCCGGAGGATACTCCTGGTCTGGAGTTATCACTGAAGCCAGGAGAAAAGGCATAAGATGCGTTTCCTTTCTTTTTCAGGCACATGTAGATTCCCTAGCCTCTCTAATGAGAAATTGAAGAACTTTATCTCAAGAATTTATTTAAGGTGGAAGCCAGAGGAAAGGATGCAGAGATGTCCTTCCTCCTATTCTTGCTGTTTGATACCTCCATTCACTTTTCCTGGAAAGTTTCTAGAGCTGGAATTATCACTGGAGCAAGGCAGGGAAGAAAGTGTGAGGAGTAGCATCCCTCCCATTTGTGCTCAAAGGGCTTTATTCTTTATTTGCTAGGTAAGCTACTAGATAGGGCTTATTGGAGGCAAGAATGACAGGAAGCTGATAGGAAAGCATGCTGTCAAACCCTTTTCAGGAGAAAAGTGGAAGCTAGGCTGATCCCAAGGTCTGCAGCAGCTGGGAGTGCTCATAGGGTTCAAAACCCCTTTGTCCTTTGTGATTGAAGGAAATCCTTCAATGTCATTTTCTTGCCTTTCCTCAAGAATAATGATTTAAGACCCAATCCCTTTGGCAGAGACTTTAAAAGCTGGGTACTACATTACATGTTTCTTCACCCTTCAATAGAAAGGTGAGGGTTGGGGTTTCCTTCCCAATTATAAGGTGCTGTGCTCAGGGTGGAGTTTCATGCACGAGTGTTTCTTCACTTTTTCTGCTCATTTTGATATGAATATTTTCTCAGGCCTTCTGTGTGTAGGAGTCTTTCAACTGCATTCTGGCTTTCTCTTTGAGAGAACTGATCCATGTGTAGGTGTTTACTTGATGTGGCTGGGGGAAAAGAAATGATCAGAGCCTCCTATTCTGCCATGTTTCTGAATTCTCTCTCCTGTTGTCAATTAAATTTTTACTGTGTGTTTTAATTTGTAGAATTGTGTGTGGGTTAAAATGTTCTGCATTTCTCATTACATTTTTGTTTCCATTGTTCCTATAAAGTTGACCCTGTAATCACTATTGACTTTCCTTTCCTAGCACAACTTTTAAATCTCACTATTTAGTTAGTAATTCTGAAACCAGCATAAAAAATAAAATAAAATAAGTCAAAACACCAACAGAAAGCAGCAATACTAGCCACTTATTGGGTTTCTTATTATTTGCCAGACACTAATCAGGGTCTGGAGTTGTAGAAATAAATCTGGCATTATCTGTCCTCAGGCGATGTAAATTCTAAAGGAAGGAAAGAACAAAGTATTTAGTAACTTGAAAATGATTTTAAATTCATTACTATATTAGTATATTTGTGGTGCTATTTTCACTTGAATATTTTTATATTATACTTCCAAACCTGGCATTAGCCACAGATAAGAACCTTAAGGGTTTTGAAATATAGGTGACGATTATTATTCACAGTATCTATATTCTTTAAGGTCATTTTGAACAATGAATTAGCAAATACTGGGTCATTGTAGGAAAAATATAGGGTTAGGTTTCTGAAAGCTGCTGGTCACCATGCTTTCATCAGTCAGTTTACAATCTTATGAGTTTTATGTTTAAAGACACCTTATTTAGTATATATTATTGATTCATCAACATTAATCTCCTGGCCAATAGCAATATAATTTGTGCCTAAACAAATCTTATCTAATGTGTGTTTCCAATGTAAAGTACATCACAACCCTCCTGTGCTTAGAAACTTTGAGATAATTGTAAATAGTGAAATCACTAACAAAAAAAACCACAAAAATGAAAAAAAAAGTATTAAATACACCACAAAAAGGACAACTTGTTTACAATAGGAGAGCTGAAACAAGAAGGCAGAGCACTGCCTTGTTCAATCTCAGCCAGGAATGTACATATTGTGTGACTCAAAATTTTTCCTATCCTGTGCACATCTGCAAATTAACACCAAAACACGGCAAGTATTGATTTGGGGGTTACAAATAAATTTTAGTTAATAGGCAAATTTGCAAAAACAGAGTCAAGAATAATGATAATTTACTCCACTCATGTTTTATCTAGCCACTTTAGTGGACTTTATCTGTTTATTTTTTTTGAGACAGTGTCTTCCTTTGTCACCCAGGCTGGAGTGCAGTGGTACAATCATGCCTCACTGCAACCTCAAATTGCCAGGCTTAAGCAATACTAGCACCTCAGCCTCCTGACAGCTGGGACTACAGGCACAAACTAATGCCCAGGTGATTAAATAATATATATATATATTTTTTGCTAGAGATGGGGCTTCATTATGTTCCAAGGCTGGGACATTCTTATTAATTCATTGTCAAAATTTTCAATTGATTATTTTCTTATTAATTCATTGTCAAAATTTTCAATTGATTATTTTCTTTTCTGTGTATCTAATCATATATTATAGAAAGAATAGCGATCTCATCTTATCATTCCCATTGACATTTCAAATTAAGTTCCATTCTGCTATCAAAATATATTCATTCACTATATTTCAATCTTGTCAATTATATTTTATAACTTCACTATGTTTTTAAAATTATTTTTTAAAAGTTCTATTTGTACTTCTGTCAGTTATTGACTTATCTTTCACAAATATAATCTTAATCTGATCAGCATATTTTGCTTTTCCTTTTACCCAATGTAGTGTTCTATCTAGGCAATAGACTGCTAGCATTGATGCATGTTTGTGCAGTTTTGTGCTTGACTTGACAAGATTTCTATACTTATCATTCATGCTCAAGCAGCAATCTTCGAGACTATGACAAATTAAAATAAACAAGTAAGTGTATTCTAATGTTGTCAGCATCCATGTTTTAAAGTAGAATATGCCTGTGAAGAACTTACCCATGTAACTGTACGGGGGATGGCTGACTTCATCTGAGATGGCACCGCCGAGGTGGCCATCATATGAATAGGACAATGTTCATTGCTTGTGGCAGGTGTTGCTGAAACTGATGAATATGTTAAAGTCAGCCTGTCAGATGCAGGTTCCTTTTCCCCAAATGTCTGCCATTTACGTTTTCATCATTGTTGCCATAAGTCCCACCCTTGATTACCTTTGTCCATTACCTTCATGGTCAAGCCCAAGGCTTCACTCACAAGTAATTAAAGAAATCCAAAGCATTTTCTCTCATTCTTAATAAGCTAAAAAATAATTCCATTGCACTCCTTTCTTAAATTGGGGATGTTTTAATGCAAAATATTATACTTTTTAATATGTTTAAAAGAATTGAGAAATAACTGTTTTTAGTAACTTGGTGTTGAGGTTTAAAACCTTGATAACTAGGAATAAGTGATATGCAAAAAAACAAAATAAAAGGATTAGTATATGTTGTTTAATTTTTTAAGATATGAAAGTTATTATTTTATATCTCTGAATTATGCTGCAACATTTTTAGAAGATGCTACATTTTTACATGAATAAAAATCAAGGCTAGTGAGAACACTGTAACATTCAGGTGATTTACTTTACATGACCCTCTAAAATCAGGCTGCCTTATTGTTTGAAAGCCTGAGTTTTTCCTCAGTGTCTCCATAGGGTGCTTTCTCACACTTCTATTCAGAGATCATTCAAGTATAAAGAATACCTAATAACTTCGGAACTCATACCAACTCTGCTGATGTGCAGGTAAAAAAAATTGCCCTTGGTGCTAATCAAGTGGTTCTGAGTTAAATAATATTTGCACCACTGTTATTACATATTTAATAGCTACAGTAAATTATTTAAACCATATCATGTGTCTAAATGAGGTTAGCCAGGTAGAGTTGGTGGGATGATGTATTTTAAGGTTTAAATTATTAACCCAAAAGACCATTCAGTGCCCAAGTCATCAATTGGATGCTATTACTTATATTTCTCCCAAGAAGCAAATACACACACACACACACACACACACACACACCCCAAATCATGCAGAATCAGCATTCTCAAAATGTCTTTCTTCTAATATTTTGAAGAGCTGATTCTTTTTCCACAAAATGGGATCATCTACTCCCATGACTTTTTTCCTCTTTCTCCAATTTACTTGAGCTAGAAATTTGCTGCTCTTACCACCATCATGCAGTTTCCCTGTGGTCTCAGCCCTCAGTGGATTGCCATTGTGGCTACTCAGTCAACTCCCTTCTCTCTTTTTTTTTTTTTTTTTTTTTCACTAACCTGATTCTCATTTAATCAGGTGAATATTCCTTCCGTTTTCTACAAAATTGTTCTTTCAACAACTTTCTTGCCTTTGAGTACCACAATGCTATAATTAATGTATCTGCTTCCTACATCTTTGCCAAGTTATAACTAATTTCTTCTCAAATTCAGGTGTCAATTTATCATCTCCAATCATTCCTCAATTCTTTTTTTTTCTTTTTTGAGACAGAGTCTCACTTTGTCTCCCATGCTGAAGTGCAGTGGCGCGATCTTGGCTCGCTGCACCTCCACCTCCTGATTCTCCTGCCTCAGCCTTTTGAGTAGCTGGGAGTACAGGCGCATGCCACCATGCCCAGCTAATTTTTGTATTTTTAGTAGAGTCAGGTTTTCACCTTGTTAGCCAGGACAGTCTCGATCTCCTGCCCTCGTGATCCGCCCACCCGGCCTCCCAAAGTGCTGGGATTACAGGCCTGAGCCACCACGCCGGGTTCATTCCTCCAATCTTAAAGCTTTATTGATTGACTTTGTTCCTCTAGCCAATAAGTTGTCAACACATTTGAGTTCAATGAAAAATATTCATATATATTACTATTTAGAACTGTACTAGCATTCTTCAGTTATTTCAACTCTTCTGATCCAATAATATAGTAACTTATTTGAAGAAAAGACCAGTTTTTCCTATTATTTTTCTGGTTCATATAGCATTTATTACAAGTATCATACACAAGATATTCTGAATAAATGTCTACTGAATGAATGATGTGTTAAAATATCCAGTGATGTTTTGTAAATATCCCATTTTTTAAAAAGCAGCATTTGAGATTCTAGGTGGATATTTGTAAATATATGTCTCTTTAAGAATATACATATGTTGGTATATGTGTTTTAACAGTGTAATATAATTAATTTTAGCAAAATTCAGACACTTTTGCTTCATAAATAATTGTCAAGAGGATAAAAAATAATTGATCAATGTCACCAAAAGATTAAGACTAAGGACAATTGTGTAACTATTTATAGTTTAAGTTATGTGGCCTGTTTTTTGTTTGTTTTTTTTTTTATTTTACTTTAATTTCTGGGATACATGTGCAGAACATGCAGGTTTGTTATATAGGTATACATGTGCCGTAGTGGTTTGCTGCACTTATCAACCCATCATCTGGGTTTTAAGCTCTGTAGCCATTAGGTATTTGTCCTAATGCTCTCCCTCCCCTACCCACTCCCCTTCCCTTGCTCCCTGACAAGACCCTGTGTGTGATGTTTCCCTCCATGTGTTTACGTGCTCTCACTGTTCAACTCCCACTTAAGAGTGAGAACATGTGGTGTTTGGTTTTCTGTTCCTGTGTTAGTTTGCTGAGAATGATTGCTTCCAGCTTCATCATGTCCCTGCAAAAAACCTGAGATCATTCTTTTTCATGGCTGCATAGTATTCCATGGTATATGTGTGGTGTGGCCTATTTTAAAAGCTCTATTTTCTTTCTCTTAATCTTTCAAAATTTTTTCACTGACAGTTTATGAATGTGAATTAAGAAATCACTTAAGCTGTCTGACTCTGGTTTCCTCAGCTGTGAGATGTGTTAGGCAATGAGGATTATCTATGAGTAAAACAGAGTGCTGTCTTCAAGACTTTATCTACTAAGAAGATTGAGATGAGAGATGAGATAGGAATATTCATACTTTTTGATCTATACATCCCATTTCTTGGTATTTATTTTAAGTAAATAATCCCTAATGCATGCAAATATTTTCATTTCATGGTTGCAAACATATTCACTTAAACTTTTCTTGAATGTTAATCAGAATAGCAATCTTGACTGTTTGGAATAATAATTAAATGTTATCTGAGCAATAAACTGTGGAAGGAAAGATATTTCTTAGATTCAATGTCTTTTCTTGTATTCATTTTAAAAGATATTAAGCATTTTGATCAAACCCAATGGCTTCAATTTTCAGACTCATACCAAAGTAATGCATACAATTTGCTCAAACTGCACAAAAGCCCATTTCATACTCACCAGAGCTGTCAGCCTATGCTTAAGTTTGGAAGTTCACCCTCTGATCTTTGCTTTCTCTCATTCACATCTTCACTGATAATAAAAATCTCATATTTAGAACAATAGGCCTGATGTTAGTAATTAAATTAAAAAAGAAAATTTCCTGTATCATTCATGACAAGACATGATACAAAACACATTACCATTCCTGATGGCCAGCTACCAGTATATACTGCTATAGTTGATTCATATTAATGACATAGCAAGACTTAAAACTTTATTTCAGATTAAAGTATCTGTTCACAAAATAGCAGAGCATGACATGTAAGTTTAATGTTTACCACCTAAGCAATTTACTTGCTACCACATTTCACCTTATCTTGTTGGAGTTCAACAGTATTTTTACTGCACTAGTATAAGGCCTTATGCTTACATAAATTCAACACAGTAAATGCTACATATATTTGTTAGAGAGCCTATATTTTCAAAATTGAAAACTAGAGGCCCTTTGATAAAAGTTATGCTATGTAGTGTGGGAGAATAATGGTTTATACATTATGCGGATATAATGAGAAAATACAAGGAAACTTTCAGGTTTAGGGTAGGAATAGCTATTCTCGGCTAAGGCTTAGTTGAGTCTGTAGTATATTCTTTGCTAGCCTAAGATAGGTACTCTTCATGTTCCAGGAAGAATATTCTGAAATTCCACTCAGCTTTAATTCACTGTACTGTTTTAATGTCATCATAATTGAAAGAGTATGTTTAGCTATTTGAGGCAAACAGAAAAGAACATGGAAAAGGGAACAAAAGAATTGATTAAATATTTGAAATTTGAAAAGCCAAAAAGAGCAAATTATGTAAATGAACAATTAAATCAACAGGAATTTCAAATTTTAAAAAGTAGAAAATATATTAAAATGTATTTTGAGGCCAGGCGCGGTGGCTGACACCTGTAATCCCAGCACTTTGGGAGGCCGAGGCGGGTGGATCATGAGGTCAAGAGATCGAGACCATTCTGGTCAACATGGTGAAACCCTGTCTCTACCAAAAATACAAAAAATTAGCTGGGCATGGTGGCGCATGCCTGTAATCCCAGCTACTCGGGAGGCTGAGGGAGGAGAATTGCCTGAACCCAGGAGGCCGAGGTTGCAGTGAGCTGAGATCACACCATTGCACTCCAGCCTGGGTAACAAGAGGGAAACTCTGTCTCAAAAAAAAAAAAAAAATGTATTTTGAAATACTCAAGTTTATTGGCAATCAGAAAAATGCAATTCAAAGCAAAAACATAAAATGGGAATCTATAAACGTAAAACATTCAATGCTAGAAAGAGTGCTGAAAATCAGGGCCTCTCAATGACTAGAAGGAGCACAAACTAGTAAATCCTTCTGGTGAGTAATTTATCAATATTCAATACTAGATTTAAAAATATAAAGACTTTCTGACCTACACATTTTATGTATAATAATGTATCATGAGGAAATAATCATGAATTGGTAAACGTATTTGCTTAGCTTCAAAGATGTTTATCATGAGGCTATTTGTAGTAATGAAAAATCCCCAAAGATGGTTAAATGGTTTATCAACAATGTAAATTTGTACAGTGTCACATAAGCATTAAATATGTTGTAGGAGATTACATGGTGACATGATAGACTTCAAGATATATTGTTAAATGAAACATATACATCTTAGAGCTCTGACACTAAACATTTTGGAAGCTGACACTCTTATCCTTACAAGAAAAAGCTGAACTGGTCTCATCAGAGAACTATGGTCACAGGTCATATTGGCAACTTGAAACTTGGAGACTTGGGAATGTTTAGTGAGATACAACAATCGAGAACTGGAGTAGAAATTAATGAAGGTATAAACTGGCAGAAACACTGAAATGTAATGTTAATGAATTGCTGGAGGCAACGTGTGGATTAACTTGAGAATAAAAAACTCCTAGGGCTAACATTTTAGGAGAACTCACCACACTTTTGTGGAATTTCCCACTAGGAATTCTACCAGTGTCCCGCAGTTAGGAGATGAGAAAAATCCCTTGGTTTTGGAAAAATAATCATTTTTAAATAGGCCTACACCCTCTGTACAATAAATGTCTACTCTTCATAGTAAGGGACTTTGCCAAAACTCAATTTTGAAACTTTACCTCAGCAGGCACAGAAAGTTTCTCCCATCTGGATCATCCTCAAGCCTTCCTATGTCACCTAAGCCTAAGGGGGCTGGAGGGTGGTGGAGGCGAGGAGTGGGAAACATAGTCATCAGGAGCCAAAGCTTTAAGAAACCAGACTGAGAACACTGTAGCCAGGGAAGGTTGAGGGAAGGGTTGAGGAAAGTGGTGAATGGTCAAAAGCTACATAACTGGATTTGAAAAGTCACAGTTCCAAGACAACAACCCACTGAAAGACTACAATTTAATCAGAAGGTTATAGAACAGCAGCTTTCTCCCCTACCTTACCACTGCACAAACAGGGCTTCAATATAACAACTGTATTACAGCTGAAGGAGTTGCAAGACATAGACTCTTCCTGAGTAGTACTCAGGGAAGCCCAAAATCAAGAGGAAAGAGAAAAACAAAGACAATAGAGGAACTGGAAGCCTGCGATACCTATAACTACATCAAACATTAAACACAGCCTAACTCCTAGCCAGATTAATAGACATCTTCATACTACACGCCTAGTACCCCATTTCCTATTACCCTAAACAATCTGTTCAGCTTTCAACAAAAAAGTACAAGACATGACAAAAGGCTAGATAAAATTCTCTAAAGATAAAGCACAGTTATCAAAACTAGAGTATATGAAACAGATGCTGAAATAACCAGAGAACTTAAAATAATGTATATGCTAATTGATAATTGATATGCTTTTTGTAATAGAAAAAGGTAGATAATATGAAGAAAAATATGAATAATGAAAGTAGAGAGATAAAGACTCTTAGAATCAAAAGGAAATGCAGAAATCGAAACACAATAACAGGAATAAATAATGCTCTCAATCAGCTCAACAGTAGACTGGACATGTATCTGAGTATTTTAGCATTGAAATATATTTTTAAATGCATTATTCTCCTTTCTCTTTAGCCTTAAGATGCAACTTTGAAACAAACTGTAAAAACCTTGTTTTCCCTTATCCTTACAATATAGATAGCCTTAAAACATATTTGAAACTCTGTCTCTTCCCTTTCCTACCAAACACCTCTTTGCACCATGCACACTCATCTAACTGCATGCTTGTTAAGAAATTTCAGGGGCTAGTTTTAAACACACCTGGTGGGTGTAGAAACCCAGCTATAAGTTCTCCTTCACCTAGAATTTACCTCACTATGGATAATCTACAGCCTGGCTACAATTGACATAGCACCAGCCAGCACACCAGGTGGACAATAACCCAAGATGGTGATCAGAGCAAGACATACAGACCTGCACTGTGTATCACTCCTACATATTTCCTATACTGAGTTTCCCCTTTTTAAATCCCAGCCTTCAGCTCAAAACTGGAGATGGTTTCTTTGAGGATTGAGCCCGGCCACCTCTCAACTACTAGCATTTGATTAATAAAGCTGATTTCTTTTCACCAAATCTCATGTGTTGTGTTTTGATTTCCAAGCAGTAAGCAGCCTGACTTGCATTTGGTTACACTATGGCCTCTTGGACTGGGTTTGAGTTTCTATGAATAAGAAATAAGGGGTGATAAGATGTTTAAAGTGTTCATTTTATAAAAATACACATGTACACAGGTATTTTAAAGGCTCGTATTACTAAATGCAGCATGAGCTAGAGAAGAGGCTTCCAATCATGGACTATAATCACGTATGGCTAAGAATCAGAAACATGACAAATACTTGAAGACTGTATACCTGAATAGTAAGTGCAAAAGCCATTTCAAGTGACTCAATTTGCCACAAGTGGGAACATATGGCACATGGAACAGCAGGGGAATAGCAGGCTTGCTGTGGAGCTTCACCAGTAAGAGCACCAGCTCTGGAGTCAGCCTGTCAGGATTCCAAACTTGGCTTTGCTACTTAATGGCTATGGAATCTTGAGCTGCACTGTGCTTCAGGTTCCTCACCTGTCAAATGAGGGAGCTAATAGTACCTGTGGTATATGGTTGTTAAAAGGATAATCATGAAAATAACCCGTGACAAGCATACATCATAATGCTTCACACATAAGTAATCAATAAATAATTATTTCTGATTTTAATCATTTATTGGGTACTTATGTGTGAAGCATTGTGATACATTATTGTTACAGGTTATTTTCATTTACAATGACTCTAGCTGACAAAATAGCTAACCTTGCATACGTAAGTTCTAGCCCTTTTAGATTATCATAAAGTAGCTGAAGAATACTTTAAAATTGAGACTGAGCTCCTGCTTTCTCGTAATCAGGGACTGACAAGCCAGTAGACATCTGCGTTACCTTTAAACAAAGTTGGGGGGGTTTTCATTAAACACAAAGAACTCAAGCTTGAACAATTCAAGAAACTGGTCCAAATTTTTGTACCAAACTATCGTGAAATTCTAATGCTTTCACTTCTTTCCGATAAAGTCTATTCATCAAAATAGAACGGAGGAAGAATGAGGATTTGCTCTGAACCTGGATGATGTAAGAAGAAAGAGTACCAGGATAAAAGTCAGAATGTATGGGTTCCAGTGTCATTCCAAGGTCCTCCTGGGGTAAATCATTTTACATCTTTGAGCCTCAGTTACTTTAGCTGAAAAATAAAAATATTTGAATACTTATTATTCTATGATGGAAAGTGTTGTGCTATGAGCATCTCTGGTCCAGCTGTCAGAAGGAGTAGATCAGAATCCCAGCTTTATACTTTCAGGCTATGTGATCTTGTCACTTCACGTTTTGGTCATTTCATTCCACAGACCCACTTCACTTCTCTAATGGTTCACTGTCACAGTGCTGAGGAATATCAGAAATACAATATCTTTAAATTATCAGTTAACATGCTACATTAAGACAAATTAAAATGTGATACAAATAGAGGAAATTAAGCATCATTTTGCAGATTATATTTGATTTTACTGAATTTTCCATACTGGATAAACCTACTTTAATGCATTTGTTCCATTCCTACATTAAAGATAAAAAAGCTTTTGAGTTAAATATGACCTTTGAAATTATTTGTGTCAACCCTGGCTATTTTGTATTTATCCTGGAAAAACAACCTAAGAAGATATGGTCAGGAAGTTGAGATTATATTCTTTTTCATCTCAGCTCCGCCTAATATGATCAAGTTTATCTTTTAAAAACCCATTTATTTTATGTAATCTAAATTAGTTCTTTGAAAGTACCAAGTTATTAATTTGAAATAGATGCACAGGGTTTTGATTGATGGCTTAGAAAAATTTACGTATCACATATTCTTTATTCCTATAGCTCAAAAAGGTCTTACTCATTTTATGTATCAATATCATAATATAAAGTTAGAAAGAGAAAGAGTCTCACAAAATCGAGCACTGACATCAAAACAAAACAGTTTTTAAAAGCCAGTTTTCAATAAATAGTTATATGCCATCCTAATAGTTGGAGGGCTTCTTGAATTAGTCAGATTACTGTCAAAACCTTTAAATTAGCACAGGATTCTCACCAGCTTATCCTGTGTTCACTAAAGGCAAGACTTTAATGTTATCTGATGATCAAAATGATCAGGACTATTTTATCCTCTGATAAATAGAAAATGTGATAGAAACTTTTACAAAACATAGTATATTTTATCTGAGAACTGTTGCTACGAACACAAAGTTACTTTACGCCAATGGTGCCGAGTTTCTGCTGGGTGTGAAAATTAACTACATTTTTAAAGTGATGAAACTTCTGAGCTTATGATGACTTACCGCTTTCAAAAGTCTATCCTCTAAACTCCGAGGCTTATGTAGCTTCACTTCCTCAGTCCTTTAATCATCTTTCTGCCCCACAATTCTCTTATTTATTCTTTTGCTACTGTAGAAACAGCAGGTCCACATTTCTGACTGCGCAGGCATTGGAGGCCCACATCAAGCAGTGTGACATGCTTGAATGACAAAATAATGGAATGATCCCAGGGACTCAGGAGTCACAGCAGAGGTATTTATTGCTTAGCAACCCAGACTTATGTCAAGAGTTTTACCAAATGTAGATGGTGAGTAGGACTGTTGAAAATCAAAATTGCTTTGCTACAATTCTTTTAAATTGGTTTTAACAAAAAGATTAATTAATATACCCATTTATTTGTTTGATTGATTGACATAACAGCTTTCTGGCCAAGCGCTAACGTGGCAGTTATAGTCAGCTGGTCACACTAAAGGGACATAGAAATTTAAAACTCAAAAGGAATATAAAACTTCTACTATAAAATAATTATCTGCTATTCTGAATTTGACATTCAGATGCATTTCTCTCATTATTTCTTTTCAGAGAGGAAAGTGACACATGATGGCATAGTCTTTGGAAGTAAAATAAAAATAATGATATATTACTAAAAAACCAGATTAATGAACTGCATATATCTAATCCAGACTCCAGATTTAAAATTTAGTCTTTGGGCCTTTATTTGAAGGAAATGTGAGTAACTGTGTTCTCATTAATGCTAGGTAGAGTTTCATGAGCTCTAGAATTAATTTCAAGTATGTTTTAAGGAGCCAAATATAAATTGTAAAGCATTTCTTTAAATTGGAAGAAAGTACCCAGCTATGTCACAATAAAAATCACACCTGCTGCTATAAGGAATTACTGCCATGAGGACATATTTATCAGCTTTCCACACTGTAAGAACCTATCATAGAAACTAGAAAGGAGGAGTTTACTGTTGATGTTTTTAATACGATACCTGAAAATAATAGTATGAAGGTGATATCTCTTTTCCAATCATAAACACGGGCATGCTGATCCTAGCTAGCAGGATACCAACATTCGAAAAATATTAGAAATCTTTTTGAGTATTCATTTATATGGTCCAGACTAGCAATAAAGGGAGATATTTTATCCCACAAACTAGCTGGATCCCAATTAACCAGATCATTCAATTTACCAAAATGACTTTAAAATAAAAATTAGGCACAGTATGTTTAGAGAAAGAAGCAAATGAAAATAAGACCAGGTTTTTAGAATTTTTTCTTTTTTATTATTTCCATTGTTCTATCTAATTTAATCAGATTTTTAATTTTTTCTTGAGTCAGTGTCAGTAGTGTGGGTGTCTTTCTAGGAATGTATTCATATAATCTGCTTTATCTAATTGGCTGATATACAGTTGTTCCAGTATTCCTTAATCTTTCTTATTTCAATGAAGTAATTAGTAACATTTCTTCTTTTGTTCTTTCATTCCTGACTTCACTTCTCTCTCTCTTTCTCTCTCCCTCTGTCTCTCTCTTTTTCTTGGTCATTCTGCCTAAAGGTTTGTCAATTTTACTGATCTCTAAATAACCAGATTTTGAATTTGTTGGCTTTCTATATTTTTCTTCTATTCTTTATTTCATGTATTCACACTATAGTTATTAATTTGTAATCTTCTCTTTGTTTCAGGGTTAATTTTCTCTTATTTTTAGTGTTTGAAGGTAGAAGTTTAAGTTGTTGAATTGACAACTTTCTTTTATTTTCATTAGACCACTCATAGCTATAAATTTCCTGTAGGACTATTTTGTCTGCTTTTCATACGCCTTAGTATGTTGTGTTTTCATTTATAGCGAAGTACTTTATAATTTCCCCATGATTTCTTGTTTGCTCTACTGATTATTTAGGAATGTGTTGTTTAATTTTCACATATATGTTATTTCTCATATTTTCTTCATCACTGAGTTCCAATTTTATTCCACTGTGGTCAGAGAACATATTTGTGTCATTTTAACCCTTTAACATTTATTTAGACTTGTCTTACAGACTAAATATGTTCTATTCTGGACAGTATTTTATGGACTTGAAGAGACTGTGTATTCTTCTGGTGGATGGAACATTTTATTAGATAACTATCAGGTGTAGTTTACAGTTTCAAGTCTCCTATTTCCGTCTATTTACTTTAATATCGAAAGTGAGGTATTGAAGTCTCCAACTACTGTTCAATTGTTCATTTCCCCTTTAACTCTATCAGTTTTGCTTCATGTATTTTGATACTAGGTACAAGACATAATTATTATATCTTCTTGACCGCCATCTGAGGCAGTCAAAATTGTAACAATTTTCTCTGATTGTTTTTGACAGAAGCTCTGGAGAAGAGGCCACTCTCACTAGGTAAGCTCTAAGTCAGGTCAAGTAAAAACAACCTTGCCAGCAAGATCCTTCAGTGAGGGAACATCGTGATAATTGGGAATGGATAGCCGGAGGAACTCTAACTCCACTGTATCCTGCCAACAGCTGCCAAGTTGCTGTTTCTTCCGTGATTATGGGTTGTTCTCTTTTAAGATTCCTATAGATAAAACTAGGCAGTAGGGTATGGGAATAAGAAAAGTTAAACTGCTATAAAATTTACTCTTCTTACAGAGATTCAGTTGTTTTTACAGATTTGGGCAAGGCTTTGGTTAATTTCCAGAGTTCTAAAAAAGATTCTGATAATTTTTTGCCATTCTTATCATTTTTATGTGGGGAAGAATATTTGGAGGTCCTTTCCACTTTTATCGACATCATCTTTTTATTGAGTTTAGTATGTTTTACAATGTTTTAAGAGTAGCTTCAAGTTAAACAGACTTCAGCCCACTTTATTGCTGGATCTATTCTGATAGATACCTGAACACTAAAAACAATAATAATTTTTCACAACAGCTATGATTATTGAGTTCTTAGTACATAACATACATAATGGTAAATTGTTTATATGCAATTGTTCTTTTAAAACAGCAGTCCAATAGGTTAAAGTACTCCTCAGTCTCTCTTTTTACAAATATAGAAACAAAAACCTAGGTCACTTCTCTATCACCACAGAGTGAATGGTATACAGGAGCTAAACCCAGGAAAGCCTTTACTCTCATGTGCATATTGTTTTGGATACGCTCTAAAAACTAAAATTTGAAGCTTCATATTAATGTCGATAAAGATTTGACTTCTCTATGTAGGATGCTTCATCAAAGAGTAACATAAAGGAGGAGGAAATTTTTATTTTTAACTTAGAAGTTGGCTTGGACAGCTACTCTCAGAAATATCTATTTTAAAAGATTTCCAGGACTACTTTTAAGAAAACAATGTCTCCGCAGGACAATTAGAACAATGAATTAGGGCATCCCCTGGTTACTAAGACAGTGTGTAGCACCACTTTGTCTATGAATGCAACAGTATTTTGAAGTAGCTACAAAAGAAGCAACATATAACCCCTCATTTTGTAGGTTGCTAATTGTTTGCTCTCAGATTTTTAATTTGATTCTTTACTTCTGTTAAATGTTTGGCTTTGGGATTAGGGTTTTTATTTCCCACTTTCCTGTTATTTTATATACTTGAAACCTCCTACTACCCTTTTGTGACCATTTTGAACATTCAGTTAAATTATGAAATATTTTTAACTCACCTAAAATATTGATATACTTTTGGTCTGTACTAAAGATTTCAGAAGACTTTCATGATTAATTCTACAAAATTCTGATGTGAATTTCATCTCAACTTAGCCCTTAGATTCTGGGTTACATAAACATTAACTGATATTATTTCAATATTGAATTCTTAAGTAATTTTAATCATTTCATGTGTCTTCAGAATTCTATTTTGATTTTTTCTATGACTTTGCATAAAATTCCTTTGAGTAGAATGCCGTTTTACCTATCGCTTATCCAAATTACCCAACCTTCAAATTTCAGTATAGTAGTTGATTCCTCTATTCATTCCTGACTTTCCACCGTCTGTACATCACTGGACCTTGCTTGGCCCTCTGTATAAAACATTTATCAAAATGTTTTATAACTGTTTATTAGCCTATCATATGTCAAACCAGACAAAAATTTCTTTGAGAGAAAGGGCTGAGCCCCACTCCACACATATATACAGGATCTGCTGAATATAAAAAGCATCATAAATGTTTTAGAATTAATAAAAAGTAAAATCAATTTTAAAACTCATTAATTTGAAAAGCAGGGTTGTTGGCGAGTCTGACTGAAAAATCTGAATTATCTAAGATTTTACAAAACAGCAACATATTTAAGGAATAGTTTCTATTACTTTCAAATTTGGTAAATATCATAAGCAAAAACAAAAGGCTAATTAACCAGTAATATCTGGGAAAATTAATTTCCAATAATTTACAATTCATATACATTAAAAACTACCAGGTCATTAATGTAAAAAGTTTTTTAGATACAAAAAGGATTGATCCCTATTGGTAGATATACAAAATAGGAGCCTAATTTCCAGCTCATGTGGCTTTAAAAAGCTATTCATGAGGAGGACTCAAGATGGCGCTGTGAGAACAAACCAGGATTGGAGCTCTTCTCGTTGAATCCGCAAACGGTGAGTCAGAGCGGCATTTCCAGACTGATCTTTGTTGCCCACAGAACGGGGAAACTCCCAAGTATAAAAAAGACACGGGACGCCAGGCAGTAGGTCTGCCTGGCGAAGCCGGCAGCCGGGTCGGCGGTGGCCGGCCCTACCCAGCAATCCCCACAGGGCGCGCTGGTCCAGGTGCCCTGTTGAACCGGCAACCTGAGACTTGAGAGGGCTGGACTTGAGACTGAACAAGACTTGGACAGTAGGCCAGCCCAGGGGATTGCAGGGATTGGAATACTCAGTGGGACGAACAAAACCGCGATTTCAAACTATCCCGAGCAGACGGTCCGAGACGCTCTGTGGGGGAGGGGCGTCCACCACTACCGAGGCAACCCACCCCAACTGAGATACACGCCCACTGCTGACGCAGCCTGCCGTTGCCGAGGAAACCCGCCCCAACTGAGATACACGCCCATTGCTGACGCAGCCAGCCGTTGCCAAGGCAACCCGTCCCTACTGAGATACACGCCCACTGCTGAGGCAGCCCGCCAGTTGCTGAGGCAACACGCTACAACAAAGAGACTCCGCCGCAGGGCGTGGCGGAGACCACAGCAGAGCCTGCAGGAACAGCGCGAATCACAAACAGCAGGGCGGAGCCTCGGCAGCCAAACAGTGGCTAGTCTGCCTTCGAGCTGGGCAGGACACCTGATCGGACATCCAAAAATAAAGCCCAAACCCCTCAACACAGAGCATTTGAGAAAAAAAAAAAAAAGGTTTTTTAATGAGCTCTGTTGCAGCAGAATAAAACATAGCAGCCTAACAGCCCTGAATGAACAACAGAGTGCACAGCTGAGCAATTAAACACCTATAAAATACAAACTGTCTCCTCAAGCAGCTCCCTGACCCCTCTATATCCAAAAGACTGACATTAGGCAGGCATCATCCTGGGACAAAGAGAGCAGAAAAAAAAACCTGGTAGCATCCCTCGCTGTGCCTCAGCTACT